GATGGAATCTGAGCTGGGCCTTCCTGGTGGGCAAGACTTGGGACGTGCCAAAGTGAAGGTACTGGGTGGAATAGCATCCCCCCAAAATTCATGTTAATCTGCACCCTCCGGAATGTGACCTTATGTAGAGACAGATTTGGTCTGACAAGGGAGTTCAGTGCCGTTCATATACAGAGGAATTAAGCTAGGCGCCAAGGTGCTCTCCAGGTGGAGAAGGTCATTCAAAATTTGGATACAGAGACACAGAAGAAACCAAAAGGAGAATGTCATGTGAAGAGGGACACATGGAGAGATGTAGCTATTAGGTTGGTGCAAAACAATTGCCACTACTTTTAATGGCAACACTCAATTGTTTTGCACCAACGTAATACAAGCTGTCAACCACCCGAAACTGGGAAAAAGCAAGGAAGGATGCTTCCCTGTAGGATTCAGAGGGAACACAGTTCTGCTGACACCTTGATATTGATTTCATACTTCCAGCTTCAGCACTGTGAGAGAATAAGTTTTAAGCCTCCAAGTTTGTGGTGCTTTGTTACTGCAGCCCAAGGAAACGGATACAGAATTGCATGGATAAGGAGAAAGAGGTGGGGGTGTAAAAGGGATGCCCAAGGGATGGGAAAGAATAAGAATCGTTGACAGTATGGAGGGTTCTATAAGCCTCCTCCCTTCCTATGATGTACCTCTTGCCTTTTAAACATCATTTCTGTGAATCCTTAAAATGCTCCTATGAGGCAGAATTCATTATGCTCATTTTGAAGATAAAAATGGCACAATTAAGATAAATTTTAGCAGGCTGGGCACAGAGACTCACGCCTGTAATCCCAGCACTTTGAGAGATCGAGACGGGTAGATCACCTTAGGTCAGGAGTTTGAGACCAGCCAGGCCAACATGGTGGAACCCTGTAACTACTAAAAAATACAAAAAATTAGCGAGGTATGGTGGCAGGCACCTGTAATCCCAGCTACTTGGGAGGCTGAGGCAGGAGAATCACTTGAACCTGGGAGGTGGAGGTTGCAGTGAGCTGAGATTGCACCATTGCACTGTAGT